AAATTATATATATTTTATTTATTAATTGTTTGTTTGTATTTTTAAAATGTTTATTTATTACGTATTGTTCTATTAGTAAATGTATAATAAATAATAAATTTGTATTGTTAAAAAATTGTATTTAATAAATTTAAAGTTTTGAATGAAAGTTTCTGATTAAATTTTTAAATTGGCTTGTTCAAGAAAATGTTTGAAATTCGCTGTGTAAGAATGTAATAGTTTTTAATAGTTGTGTAAAAATTACTTTTAAAATATGTCAAGTGTATATATACCTATAAGTGTGTGTAATGTTAATTTAAAAAACGGAAACACACAAAGATAAGCAGAGATTATTAGAGGTGTGAATCAAATATCCATTATGCGAAGATGTGTAAGAAATTTTTAGGATTTTTAATCATTTATTTTCTCAAGTTTGCTGAGAAGGGTCGTTAATAAGCCATAAACGTGTTCATATAAAATGTACGTTTAACTACTAAACTGAATAAAAATTAAAAATGAAAAGTGTTGGGTTCATTTTTATTTTTCGAGTTGTTGCACTATATAGTGTTCAAGTAGTTAAATAATAAATTACATTTTATTTATATAGCATTATTAAATAAAATTTATATATACTTTATTCAAGCCTAATTAAAATTTATATAAGTCATTTAAAGCATTTACTGTATTGCAATATATACATACAGTGCTCATCAAGTTTCTATAAATACAAATGTGAAATGTAACTTTATTGGCAAGATATTTAAATGTCAGCATTAATATTTGTATCAGTAGATTGATGGAGTAAGGGAACAGAGTGCATCAGTGATCTATTAATGGTGTTTACTTCTTACAGGACTTTCTATGTAGAAAGTGGATTTTGTTTTGTTGTTAGACACATGAAGAAAACCCAGATCTTTTCATGTGACCAGTATATTGGTTAGGCACGAAGCAATGACTAAGTACCAATGTTTAATGCGTTTATTTATTTGGCCTTTACCGTTTATAGCGTTTAAACTTTCGAAGAAAGTAAATATCGTTTTCGTTACCTGAAATTCAGAATTCGAATATGTTTAACAATTTTTATTTCTTTCAGACGTGTCAAATGATTATAACAGAAAAATACTTTACCGTGAAAGCAAATTCCTTAGTTATTATGAAATCCAAAATTTTACTACCAGTTGTGTGGATTCCAATCTCTTAAGAAAGCACAGAAACTGTAAATAATAATAATAATTTGTGTGAATGTATGTCTCTTTTATTTGAATAAAAAATTCAGTAGACTTTCTTACAGCTATCAGGATAGGTACTTCTTTATTGCAATTAGGGAATTCGATCCCGGTCCTTATTTCTAATCCCGGGATTTCGGGATTATACTTATTCGATCCCGGGATCCCGGGATTATTTCGGTATTGAGGGTTAATAAAAAATAAGAAAATCTTACAGAAATTAAAAATCAAAATTTAGACAAAAATCAACGTATTTTACGGTATACACCTAGTTAATTTAATCACTCTAATTAATCAGACTTACAGTCAGACTAACCAGACTTAAAATCACTGTCTTCATGTTAAATTTATTCTTTTTTAAGCATCACTGAGATCTCTTTAAACTCACATAAATTGAAAAAACTTTTATGTAACAAACTATGCAAATAAACGTTGAAAATTCACAAAAATCTCTCTTAACATCGACTAAATAGACTACTTTCATATAACAACCTAGTAAGTAGGTAGTAAAGTAAGTTTCTTAGGAAAAAGTATTTAAAAATAATATTACTCAGTCACATTTTTCTTAAATATAAAGAAAAATAATTTAATAGGAACATTCTAATTTGAATTGCGAAAATATAATCTGAGAAATAACAACGCATCTTGTGTCTCGTCACCAAGTCTGCTTCTCAATTTGTTGCACATATATGCAGCTGCAGAGAAAACGCGTTTAGGTTGATGGAAGTTGGACGAATTGTTAGTAAATACTTATAAGCTTCGAAGACACGGGGACGATGGAAGAAAACAGTCCGGTCGACACAGATCGGGATTGTAGGAGTAAAGGCTATAATCCCGATTGTTTCGATCATTGTAAGCATGTTTTTTCAAAAAATAAACGCGTTAATTTTGTAAATTCGGTCTCTAAGTGAGTCTCTCAGCGTTCAGCAAACCACTACCCCCGAAACGTAAAAAGACTTTCTCGCATCATCCTGACAGATCGCGGGCAAAGCGAGGGTCATAACCTTTTCACCTAAGGTCGATCCCCCCTAAGCGAGTGGCGTCGGGTCTATATTAACCACACTGGCAAAACAAGATGGCTGACACATTGACAGGTAAAACGCACCGAGTAGTGCTCTCGACTGCGCCAGAAAATCGATTGGCGCCCGCGAAAATTCAAAAATACAAAAATGAAGTATATTACCAAGTAACCCAGTGAGAACTGCTTGCCTATCATTTTAGTTGAAAATACAAGAAGTTTTATTCCAAGCAAGCATCGCAAGCCCACTGGGTTAATTTCTGCTGCTTGCTTGGAATAAAATTTCTTGTATTTAATATTAAAATGATAGGCAAGCAATTCTGTTAAAAGCACTGGCACTGAACGTTTCGCTTCATGCAGTCTATTTTGCAATTTTTTTTAAAAATGATGTCAATCCCGAAAATCCCGGGATTAGGAAAACTTAATCCCGAAAATTTTGGGACTGAAAAGTGGTCGGGATCCCGGGATCCCGATTTTCGAGATCCCGGGATCAAATCCTCTAATTGCAATTCACAAATGCATTTCGGGTTTATGTAGTATCTAAGGATTTTTTATTCAAATAGAAGAGACATACGAAGTGACATACATTCAAATTACGTATACAACAGCTACCACATCTTACATTGAGAACAATAACAATGTTTCATGTATTGGGTATTATGTACAGTACATTTCTCGCTGAAATTGTAGTTTTCTAATGTAGTGTAGGACCTACAAACACTTCTCTTTTTCTTTTACTCGCGACACCCTGGGGGTCGCGACCCACAGGTTGAAAAACACTGCTCTACATAATATAGGGTCCGCTGTTAAACCTTACAGCATTCTCAAAATGTTTAATATAAGCCCATTCTTACCGTGGTATTGACGGCCACCAGCCGTTACTTTTGGCAATCTAAATTTACAAAAGCGACCTTTAAGTGAGTCGGCAGTACACAATGAATGACCCTTCACCTTACAATAAGTCAGCTATAAATGCAAACGATCTGTAAGAAGTATTACGTGTAATATCCCGAATGCTATCATATTCTATGAACACTTTGGATGTTTTAAATAATTTGTGCCTAAATAACTTAATTACTTTGTATCGGAGTACTGTTGTAGTTCTAAGAATTTTATTAACACTCCCTGTCTCTATAGCTAGTGAGGGAAGAAGTTTTTCCAAATTGAGATTAAGAAAACACTACTAAGAATGTGAGAGTACGAGAGCACAAGGTCAGTACCCTAATTGCCACTTACACGCCGAGTTGTTAATACTCGCCCCCGTTGTCGCTCGGATGGCTTTTTATCGAGTGACGAGGAAGGTGAGAAAGTCGGCAGGCGTCCTCTTAGAGACAGAAGACAGGTTTAACAAAAATTTGCTAAAGTTAAAACCAGAAGACTAAAACTGTACATTCTTGTAGTTGGTTGATACTTGATATCATTACTTTAAAGTAGTTTATATTTTCAAAATAAAAATAGTATTCGTACAATTTGTAAAATGGATAGGATGGGTTTCTTCTATATAAAAGATAAAAAGGACTTTCATTTCTAAATGTATGTACTGACAATGCATAGACAATGTGTAAACAAGGCGTATGGGATCCACTCGTCCCAATCTCGTTGGTCTTTAGACACATAATTAGATGAAATGTCTTTTAAGGTTTTATTGAATCTTTCGATGACACCATTACAGGCAGGATGATGGACTGTTGTGAGGAGTCTCTTGATTAGTAGCAGTTTACACACTTCCGTAAACATTTTAGAGATTAAGTTCGGAGCTCTGTCCGTTAGTAATTGAGTCGGCGTTGAGTGACGTAATACGATGTGAGTGACGAATGCTTTCGCAATTGTCTTGTTGCTGACGTCAGGTAGCGGGACGGCTTCGGCATACCAACTGAAGTGATCAACGAACACTACGATATATTTGTTTCCATTAGTAGTAATAGGAAGTGGTTAGACGATGTCCATGGCGGTTTGTTCGAATACTTGAGAAAGGGGAGCAAATAATTGTAATTCAGCTTGTGCTTGTCGTCCTCGTCGTCGGTGCTTTGCACAGCTTTGACAACTTTGACAATAATTTCGAATCTCCTTCATCATTTCCGCCCAATAGAATGATTTAGCGATCTTGGTTCGCATTTTTAGTCCTCCCAAATGTCCAGCTAGGGGATTGTCATGAAAGATAAATACAGTAGAGCGTCGTTTATCCGAATCAATTGGGGATGGGGTCGTTCGGATAACCGATTATGTACGAAAAAATATATTAACCTATCCCATGTTGAAAGTTTTCTCTATTGCGTGTCGCTTCGTTTTAAATTTTCGTCGATGTTAAGCCTAACGTAAACTTTTCAAAATAATAATCGTGGCTATTGTATCGATAAAAATTATTTCTTTATTTTGTACAAACAAAATAAATATATTGAAAAATGTAAAAACAAAAAAATATATACTTTAGAAGTTGATCTAGTATCAAAAATGTCCGATTCAGCACCACACACAGTCCTCAGAAAAACACCACACAAAAGTGCCAGTGCTGCCAGCTAAAACACACACACCAACAAAAAAATATTGGAGTAGCCCAAGATATAGCCAAAGATTGCAGCGACACAGCACTAGCGAAAATTTAAATTTGCCGAATGGAATCCTTTCGGATAACCGACTTTCGGATAAACAACGCTCTACTGTATGATATAAGTTATACATTGAGGCTTGCAGGTACGACGATTTGTTCCCACCAATACGTATTTTTATTTGTTCCCTTATGGGAAAGTGCTCTCTCTTCATTAAAGTAAAATTCTTCTAGATTAAGGTTATTATAGGTTTCTGACGGTTTCTCCATCTTTTAAGGTTTGTATAAAATAGCTCCATCGCTCATCACGTTGCTCAGAGTTGGCTAAGTGAGTCATAGAAAAAATAAGTTCAACGTCTTTTATTTGTTGGATTGGAATACGACTAAGCGCGTTGGCATTTTTATGAGAGTTTCCTGCCTTATGCATGATATCAAAATCGAATTCTTGAAGAAAAATGATCCAACGAGATAATCGTTTTGCGAAATTTTCTTTCCTATTCTTTAAATATTTCGAATGAATACTGTTTTTTGTTTAGAAAGATGCTTATTCGTTAAGTTACTGAATGCTCTAAATAGGAAAACTTTCGTTAAGGGCACCCTCTAAGTCGAACGGAAATTAACATTGAATATCAGTTTTCAATATCGATCAGATCATTCAAAACATCTATTTTAAAATGTTCGTCTAAAATTTTATGTTCACGAAAGAATTTTCATTTTAAAATTAAATCCATTAAGAAAATCCTTGAGAATGAAATTACTTAATAAGTAAACATAATTAAAGCTCTAGCAAAATGAATGTTCTCTTTGTCCTTCAAGATAATTGTTTCAATACATAGGTCTGATGTATTGAATTAATCATCGATTTTTCATATTTTAAAAGAATTCATTTAAGCATAAAGCCGAACAAGCAGAACCATAAAAGTTTCTTGTAATAAACCAGCAATTTCTAAATCTCGTCTTAGGTATCGAAACACCAGACATGGAGCATTCTCTTTTCCAAGCAATTCAACCTTACAATAAAGTTTTACAGATTTTCGGAATATTCTTAAATTCAAGAAAGGATCTCTTATGGATTAAAATATTATTCTTTCAGACTTACTTCTTTTTAATGTTTTTAATCTTATTCGTCGTGTCAGAAGATATATCAATTTACTATATCAAATTTGATAAATTTTCTGAATTTTGTGGCATTCCTCAACTTTGGAACATGTTTGGAAGGAACATTCGCTATAACACCAGTCTTATATTACTTTTATCTCCAATATTTTCGGTTCTGTACAATGTAAACGCCTCTTTCATCAAAACAATTATAGTGAAAGTCAGTCGAAATGTAAAATGCTCACGTCGAATGATTTCTGGTTTATTAAGATATCAGGATTATATTTTGTCCTATTTTACTTTTGTGACTGTATTGGCTTCTATTGGTCTACCTAGTCTGCATATATTTGGCAGGAATTATTACGGTTATAATAGACACATTTATAGAGAATGTTTCTGCGTGTTTCATGTTGTTATAGGTTCTTTTCTCTTAATTAATGTAATCTGTCATGGCTGCGGTTTTCTATTCATACTCACTTACCTAAGTGTTCGTTTATTAGAAACGTATGTTGAAGATATAACAACAAAAATAAAAAGACATGTTTCGATAGAAAGCGCAACGGTACTTAATGAAATTGCGCATGTTTTCATATTTATCAATGAAATAGATAAAATTTTCCAAAATTTACACTTTATATTTATAATTGTTATATTACCGTTGATAAGTGTCATCTTCATGTTTGTGTAGTTACTCATTCCTTAACATTCGAACTGTTTATTACGATTTTTCTTGGTACTTGGTTGGGAATTGTAATATTGATTTACGTTCTCTATCTTACAAGAATTCCTTCAAAGGTGTGTTGCATTACTTTATATGTTGAAATTTATTTAATAATCAAATTTTGATAACAAGAATTGTTAAACAATAATATTTATATCACAATTGTTTAGTTCCTGAGTCATAAATGATTCAACAGTACATATATAATGTTAACAAATAAATTTCTGTAACCACATTACGCTGTTTTGCTATAAAATTCATCAATTTATAGATATGGTTAACAAGAACAACAAAGTTGGGCACACCTCAACTTTGTTGTTCATGTTAACCATATCTGGAGGTTGTGCCCAAATCTAAAATAGTTTTTTAATTAAAGAGCTCCGAACAAAGACTATTTTAAGAAACGACGATAGCAACCAAGTACAGAAGAAAAAGCATGTGCATACAAAATACGATTTAAGAACCAGCAATTGGGAATAAAAAAACATATATTGCATGTAGCTTTTCGCCTCGATGAGCATAAATATAGCATAGACAAAAAGCATTGTAATATCGTGTTCTCCAAAATGGCACAAGTAGAAGAATCTACGGTAAAAACGAGTGAGGCAAATATTATTAGAACACTACATTTCTCATATTGGCAAAAAACGAAAAAGATATTAAGATTTATAAAAGCAAATTAATTCATGGTCACATTAATGCGAGAGATGGAGTAGGATTACATTCGGCAAATTTAACATATAAAAGAAACTGCAATATAGAAACTCATAGTTTGCATCTGTCCTTCTATATGCAATACATATTTTTATTTATTTATCTATTAATTTTATATTAATTGCTATTATTATTATTATATATTTACTTAGTTTGTTCCTTATTTACATTTTCTTTATTTCATTTTACGTTTTTGTTTTGTGTAGTTTAAATACATATTTTTAAGTTATGTGTTCGAACGTTTCATCGTGAAATGTTGCATTTAAACAAGGTTCGGATGCAGTATTACATCTGATGATGACCTACAGAGTTTAGATTGAAAACGTTTGTGATGATAAATGTAAATAAATCTCAGCAAGGTAGATAAGAAGATTTTTTAAGTATTTCTCACTGCTGAGTCTAATATTTATTGTTCTATATAAAGTTCCCAGTTAAATATCTTTTTATGTTTCAGTAAAGAAAAAATACAGTGTAACGTGAATTATTTTCTGATAAAATTTCTTTTTTTTTTTTAGGTGCAAGAATTTTACTCCTGTATTTTGGACATATATTTTCAGAAAGAGCAATATAACATGGATGTATTATTATTAGTTATGATTTTTTTTCAATTACGTACTTAATTAATATAGTTATGAAAGTTTTTTTTCTGTTTTTCAGCCTCTGTTGTTATTATATCTTATGAGAGCGAACGTTGGATTCAAAAGTAAAAATTTCTTTTTATTCTGTAAACACTCAGTTTTAAGTGTAAGTAAATTCTCGTTTACTAGTTTTAACATGCAGTAAATAAAATTTAAATTTTTTAATATAATAAATTTGAAATAATATTTAAAAACCAATTTTTCAGAATGTCTTCGAATTCGTCACGCAATCGCTTGCTTTTCTTTTAATCAGATCCTCAAGTTTTGTGAAAACGTGCGACGAAAACGACTAAATATTGTCGGATTTAACATTCTACTAATGTTCATTATAAAACTAATGATTTCAGTGTTTTTCAACTGTCGCAAAAAATGAACTAGAGTTACTAATTTGTAACGATACAAATTTCAATACAGATGATCATTCCTATTCATTCGAATGAGAATTTATATATGTTAATAACGCGCAAAGCCTGATAATACGTCTGAATTAACAATATGAAATCCGTAACAAAACATTTGAATTTGTAATTATAACGGTTATATAAAAGTGGCGAGTATATTAAAACGAAGGACGATTATACAAGACACGAAGAAAATATAAAATAAACATTCGAAATGAGAGCGAAAAAAGGAGCCGATTCATGATTTAAGTCTAGTTTTCTCGTACTTCACAAATATTTAACACTCTCTTTTTTTACTTCTACCATCTACAGCAATATAAGTTATTCTTAGACAACTAGAAGGAACCGCATTCGATTTCGTATTGGAAAGTTGTTCTTGATCGTTACTTTAGATTAGATAATTGTTTTTCATCTCATTACTCGTTCGTAACATAGGAATTAAAATTAGAAGTAGATGTTCTCGGTTATCTTTAATTTGAATGTAATAAATTATATGAATTACATTATGCATAATATTATGTATTACTTGACGCTAAATTTTCTGTCAGTCCAACACTAATAATTTTCCACACACAATATTAGAGTTCATTATATTTTACACTTGATACTTTACAATTTAAAAAACATGTATTACTGTACTCTATTGTATTTTCACACAATAAAAATTATATTAAGCAATATCTTCATATCGTTATCATTAAAAGTCTGCTTGTTTTTCGCGAGAAAGTACGAAAAACTTCTTGCAATGAACTCTAAAATTTTCTAAGGAGAAAAAGTAATAGGAGTTTAATTTTTTAAACCATCCAAAGACTTTCGATTATGTAAATGGAAACAAGAGTTACAGTATGTTCTCTTTATTCCTGACACTTGCTGTTAATGAACATAAAATATTTGTTTCGCGATAAGTATGGAGGAAAGTCTCTCTTATTGGCCATACGGCGAATGTAAAATTTATACGAAGTGTATTTAAATTATATTTTAATTATACTTTGTAGTAATTTTATTATTCGTTGTATTAAAATATATTAACAATTATCTTTCGCAAGATTCTCGAGTGGACGATAGAGTTAAAACAAATTTATACATGAAATATAGTTTATGTATAATTGTATATCTTTGTCTTTTGTTCAGTAAAAACGTTTTTTAAGCAAGGAAAATCTTTTAAGGGTTCGGCCAATTCGGTTTAATTCCAACATTTCACTGATATGTATTAAAAAACATGCCATTGATAGAGATTGCACAAGATTCCGTTTTACATGAATTCTATGTTGTACGAGTCACTTAGATTTTACAAATACGTAAGCCGTACACAGCCCGGCACACGTATTTGTAAAATTAACAGTTGTGAATAACTAACGAGCAATTATTCGTCGTGACATCGTCCCAATGCCGAAATTGCAATTTTTTTTTTATCATATTTTTAATTTGTTTAATTTAACATATATGTTCTCCAATTCAAATTAGTAGTGGCTTGACCCCAGGACATCAGATTTTTTCTTTAACAATAGAGTCATGCCGGTCATCTAGCTAACATTTTTCGGGGAAAAATTTAAAATTCAAATAACACGATTTCCCGTTTGCATTGGAAAAGATTTTATAGTTAATCGAGGTCTACTACCCCTAGGTTCTTATTTTTAATTTCATCTATCGGTTAAAAAATCAAAATATATAAACATATTTATAACAATGTCTGAAATGTTATCAATGTAATACACCGAAGTACTCAATGGAAACTAAACGTAGTTAAAAACAAAAAACCGCATCTGAAATATTACAGTAGAAGCCATTTTCAGGTTAAGCCTTAATGCTTTCTCTCGAAAAATCCCTTGTTAGTGTGCGTTTTAATGACGTACCCTAACTGTGTTCCAAATTTCATCTCTAGGTTCACCGGTTTGCTCTGGGCGATAATGAATCAGTGACTAAGTCAGTCCGGACAAGTAATTTTATATATTTAGATTATGCCATTCACGAATGTTTTTTACAATTTTATACTTGTAATATCATTAATTTTTTCGTCTATGTATATCATGACCAGCTAACTTAATTTTGGTCCTATAACAGATCCCATGCTCATTCCTGTTTGCTGCGTATAAAATTTTCGTTTGTGATGAAATAATGACTTCTATTAGGTCTATTTCTTCTTTCGGTGTTACAATTTTTCTTAATATATCTTTTATTATCACAAATGAAAAATTTTATGCGCAGCAAACAGGAATTAGCATGAGTTATAGGAGCAAAATTGACTAAGCTTGTCATGATACGCAGCGAATGTAGTCTATTCCATACCGTGCACTTGTGAAAACCAGAAAAATTACATAGGTGAAACAAAAACAAAATTAGAAGCTCGACTTAAAGAACATATCGCCGATTTGAAATACACAAGAGTAAATTCAGTCTTTTACGAATATTGTACAATAAATAATTGCAATATTAAGTAAGAAAAAGTAAAGATTTGACACAATGAAAAAAATTGTTACACAGAAAATTTCAGGAGAGTTTTAATATAAAAACCAAAAAAATATCAATAAAAATTGAAGTATAAAATTCACTAAAAAGTGAAGAAAATTGGTTAAAAATATTATAAAAACATTATAATGAAAGAAGGTTGTTTTATTATATAAGTAATTATAAAAAAAAATTTTTAAATACCAAACGAGATTAATTAAGAAGAAACAGTGACATCACAAGTTTGAGCTAAGTACCATTCACTGTAATGCCGAGAAATTTTAACTGTACAAATTTTTAACCTTAAATATATGTAATTTTTAAGCAAGATATATATTAGTTATCACCCCCCTTAGAAGATATCTCAAAAGTAAATGTACTTTGTAACCTTTCATAATATAAAACATTTTGTGATGTGAAAAATTTACGTCCATGTTTTATTACGTAGCCGACAGAAGAGGGGCGTATACCCGAATAGGGTAACTGCCCACAAGATATTTCTGATTATAGAATCATGCTAAAGATGCCTAGTGTCTATCTATGCACCTAGTTGTAATAGAAAAAAAAATTGTAATAATATTATTAATAGACTTAATGGACACTAAAAACGTCTCTTAGTTGTCACTTATGTTTTTCCTCATAAATATAACACGTATTTTATAGACGTACAAAAGAATTTTGATGAATATATGTGTATGACTACGATAATATCGTTTTATGTGCAGATTCTATTTCTAGAATGAGACATCCGGAACATCTTTCATAGTATGTATCTGATAATTTTAATAATTATGAGCTTCATACAAGAATTTCTAAAGACAAAATTTTTAGGTTATCATAGAAAATTATATAATTTTT